ATAGAAAGGAATTACCAGCTAACTGAACCTCAGAATTCTAGACACCTAACCAGGCAATACCCTAATAAATAGTTCAGACAATATACAGAAAGTTCAGAATTCCACAAACATTTTTAATTAATTTTCTTAGTAAAACAAGTAATCAAAGAACATGTATAAGACAACACAGTGTAATCAGTAAATCAAAAATCATGATATTAATCATATAATATATTCATAAATCAGATCAGATAAACAATAATCTTTCAGAACAGATAAATCAATTATATTATAAAACATGTAAAACAATTATATAACACACAAGGAACACATCTCGCAAAATGAAATCAGACCGAAAAGTCTATTGAGCGAGCACTAGCCTCGCTACGCTCTACAACAGTGCTTGAACATATACCAAAATGAATTCGGGTTACTATTAAAGAAATATTTAAATTTCACTATTTATAAGGGTTACGAAACTATAAGAGTAATCACGTGCTCACGAGGCCGAATGAATCAGGAAGAATTGGGTCGAGCTGATGAGCAATCGGGCGCGTCTCGAGTACCTTCAATAATTAATAACATAAATCAATCATTGACTTTAATTTAAATACACTTGAATAAAATAATTAAATACATATGCATGTTTGAGATTCAACGTTTGATTTGAGGGTTTTCGGGTTAAAATTTGACAAAACAAACTTTAAATTTGGACTCAAGACATCAACAAATATAAAATATGATTTTTCGAAAATTTTGACTTTTTGATCAAAGTCAAAATCAACTTTGGTCAAAGACAGCGGGTCAAACCAATACGAGTTGAATCAGTGGGTTGGTTCGAGTTCAACCCGGTTTGATCTATTAAGACCGATTCTAGATGATTTAACCGTTGGAGACGAAGCCCACGCGCACCAGCTGCGCGTGGAGGCACGTGCGACAGGAAAAACGATGAGGACGACGGACGATTGCTCCCCAAGTCTTCAGTCATCGATTTAACACCATTACCAGCCAAACATCAGCCCAAATCTCGACGAAATAACTGAAAAAGAGAATAGAGGCTTACCCACAGCGGTGATGGAGAAAACGACGACGTCGGAGCAACCCACTGATTGGGTTTCGTTCGCGAGGCGCTGGGGAGTCCAACGATGGTGGCGATGCAGTGAACGGGCGCTAGAATCGGTGTGAAATCGCTTAAAACAGTGCGGTGGTTGGGGGTTTACGCCAAAGCTTCGAATTTTTAAGACGAATAGCACGAGATTAGGGGTTTTGGTCGCGAGGTCATGACGGTCCTTATGGTGGAGGCAATGTCGATCACAGTGGTCAGTGATGGGTTGGACAATGGATGAAACAAAACAGTGAAGGTTTTGAATTTAGGGATTTGGGTTGGGTAAGGCTCGATTCTGATTGGGGATTAGTTTTAGGAATTTAAAATCCCAATCGAAAAGCTTAAGAATTATTTTGTTTAAAATAATATTGAAACAATGCCTCAGCCTAATGGCTAAGTCATGAGCTTAACTGTTGCGGCAAGTGGTTTTGAAACTCCATAGTTTTTTTTTTTTTGGATAATCGAAACTCCATAGTTGTAAATCTCACCAAATCCATTTTTTTTCTTTGCAGATAGAGAAAGAGCAATTCCGTAGCTGGGTCCTTAAACTTCTAAGAGATTCGAAAAATGCCTTAAATTTCCATTATCTTACAATTTGGTCCCTGAAAATTAATTAAATAAATTTAAATTAAAGCAAAGGGAAAATGGGGGTGTTACAAGCTTAGATTTTTATACAATTTTGTAATATCACTCTTTTTTAGGGGAATTCAGGTGAAAATAGCATTTATTCGATTCATGGATAAAGAAAGAAAACAAGTGAGAAGGGCGAAGGGCGAAGGGCGAAGGGCGAAGGATTCTTGAAACAAGACGAAGGCTTCCATCTGAATGGCTCATCTTTGATATCGTTGTGAAATGGATACTAACTTTTTTTTGTTTGTTTTTGAATTGTCACCTTCATTTGATTAATCGCAAGAACATATTCCATCACTTCACTGCAGGGATGATCAAAACTGAATTCACACTGACCATAAGCCCATTTGAAGTCTGATGAAATATTAACCATATTTCGAAGCCCAAATGTGTCCAGGAAGCCTACAGGTTTTTCTTTTCTCATATGCGACACCTTAAATACCATACAAAATAAAACATCTAAGGCCAGCTAAAGTAGAGTTCACTCGTGAGGATAAAAGCAGACCTGATAAAACATATTAAATTTTGCAGTTAAAGTAGAGTCCCTGAAAAACATATTAAATTTATCGGCTAAAGTAGAATAGTTGACCTGAAAACCATATTAAAATCGAAATATAATAATAAATCTTTTGTCTTGAATCATTAAGTAGAGGCAACGATTATAAATCAAAGATTTATGAAGTCAAATGTCATACCTAAAATAAAAATGTAATTGTAAGACTACGAATGGGACAGGGCCTTGTCAAAGGCGTGCGACGTATGTTCATTTCATGTTGCTAAAAGAAGTCGCTTTCAATCTTAACCCTGCATAGTGCATACCTTTCAACTGGAGCATTCAATATTGTATTTAACCATTTTTTTTTATCTCCACTGAATTTTACCCATCAGTGGTTCCCATTTTGTCTGTTGAAGCTTTTAATGGAGTCGGGGAATAAAATCCAACCACAAATAATATTTAATATTAATATATAACTCTATGAATCTATATAATAACTCTCAACAAATGATATTATGTAAACTTTTCCGATAAAATTTACCAATATTTTTACATCAACAATACCACACATTAACAATATGATAAGATAATTTTATCAAGAGTTCGAAAATTGCAGATAAATATTGTTTGTTGAACATCAAGATGACACTATATGAATAAAGGATTTTAGTGATAAATTATTAGTGACTATGATTAATTTTGCATATATATTTAGTGTTTGCGACAAAATTTATGTACGACACTAACATTAGAAGTAATTGTGATGTATTAACGGGGTTGGTTCAAGTGATGTGTAGTTTGATTCCGTTTAAGCATGTATTGTGTTTGAGTCATTGTGAATACACAAAATTCCCACTGAAAAACTCACCCACCAAAACTAAGTGTACGACACGAGTTAGTTCGGATTAATCAAGACGAAACCTTGAGAACCGGAAGGGCCACCAAAATAATTCTGATGTTCTTGTATTTCGTCAATATTATAATAGTAATCATGACTATTACTTTTTTTCACAATTAAATTATCGTTGTAAGTATATAATAGTGACACAAATTTTATCATTACTAAAACTTTGACACTATTAGAATATGCAAATTGACGCTAATTATTTTCTTGATGAGAAATGATATGATAATGCTAACATATAAAGTGATCATTATTATTTGTTATTTATTGTGACAATAAATTTTTTTATCAGTTTTAATTTTACTTTTTGTTATGATAAATTTTGACAATAATGAAAATAAATTTTATAAAGTCTCTATTTATTTTTATAACCATTGTAATAATAACAACTAAAAAAAGTAGTGGTTACTAGTTTATCAAAATAAAAATAATTTTCATTAATATTTATACTGTGTAAATTGTGGTTTTAGCCATTATACTCTAATTTGATCAATTTTAGTTCTTATACTTTTTAAATTTTTAAATTTCAATCATTATCCATAAAGTACAATGACAATGACAAATTTAATGTTAGTATGACAAATAATTATCATGTAAAGGATCATTTTATTGTTAATTTTAATTAAATTAAATTAATTTATATAATCATTTTAAAATATATTAATAAATGTTTCAGGTATAAATCTTAATATTTATATATTTATATTTTAAAACTAATTCAATTATTTTTATCTATTTTTTCTTCCATTTGTATGATAAAATCATAAAAAAAACTTGATTAAATAATAATTATAGTAAATGTTGAAACTAATATATTTTTATAAATTAAATTAATTTCAATCAACTTTTAACTTAATTGTTATTTTATAAAAATAAATATTCTTTTTTTAACCTAGTGATTAAAGGCTGCACTCTTCCTCTAAAGATTTTAGGTTCGATCTACCTAGAAGCCATATACTGTACTAAATTACTAAAAAAATTGGAGGTGTGCGCGGGCATTTTTAATGACTAAGAAATGATTATAAATATATATTATAATTTAACCACTTAGAGTATTAAAAAATATCCCTAAATAAGATATTTACAACAATAAAAAATATAATATTTTATTATAATTAATTTCATAATTGATTTTTTATTATTTAATTCCAATATGTAGTTGTTTAAAAAATATTTGTCACTGTTGTTAAGTTTTTGGTCAAAAAGTGATTTCATAAAAATATAATAATTGTGATGAAGTTCAGAAAAGTTATCACTATTATAATAATGATGGGATTATTAGCTACGATTTCAAAAAAAATGATGGTTATAAATTTTAGTGATTAAATTTGATATTTTTGGTGACTATTCTTAATACCACTAAAAGTACATTTTCTTGTAGCAGAAAGACATTATACATATTTTATGTAAATCCGGGATTTGAGCTTTAAGAAGCAAGAAAGGTGATATATAAAGAAATATAATTTCATATTGATTGGTTATTGATTTTTTTAAAAAAATATTTATACATGATTTTATAATTTATATTTATTTATTTTTTTGATGAAATATAATTTATATTTATTAAGTGATTGGAGTTTAGATTTATGCATGTGTATTATTATAATGTCGTCATATCCCATAATCATACATTACGTATTTTCTTTTTGAACATCATTATTTTATTATTATTGGGCTTCCTCTTAAAGAATAAAAAATATAGAGAAGTTGAAAATAGATACTACCTTTAAGGTTTCTTCATCTGAAAGTCCGTGACGGAATGCTCTGAAACTTTGAATGGAGAAAACGATGCCTTGGCCGCTCCCCACGCCCCTTTGGTAGATTCTGAGGCTAAAAAGAAAGCCCGTTTTAGGAATACGGAAGACACTCTTATCCAGAACACGGTAATGGAAACTGGGAAGCAACCACTCCCTGTGCCGTCATATGCGGCGATCTTAACTGGAAAATCCCAGGGTGATTCTAAAGACGCTGGAACACAAGGTAATATTGAGGAGGAAATCGACCTCTCTGATGACGATATTATCACCGAAACTCGTTATGGATTGCCTGCTATCCAATTATCATACAGGGTGTACAAACTCATGGAATCAAGCATGGCCAGAATGGTTATTCTCAAGTTACTGGAGAGGAATATCGACCTCAACGCTCTTAACAACAAAACTTATGCTTTATGGCATCCATCTCAATCATTCAATCTTACGGATTTAGAGATTGGTTATTTTCACGCACGCTTCCAAAACGACGATGATTATACCAAAGTGCTCGCCGAAGGATCATGGATTATCTATGGCCAATACTTAACGGTTAAACCATGGAATATGGAATTTCACACATCTCAATCGTATCCTACGACGATCGTGACCTGGATAAGATTTTCGGGGTTACCGAAGTACTTGTATAGCAAAAAGTTTCCAAGTAGTATCGGCAACCTCGTTAGGAAGGTGGCTAAGCTAGACTTCCATAAAAGAACCAATAATAGGCGTAAATTCGCTGGAGTAGTAGTTTACATTGATCTTACACGACCGAAGATCTCTAAGGTGGTCGTTGGAAATAAAATTCAAACTGTCGAGTATGAGAATCTTCCTCTCATATGCTTCGTCTGTGAAGATTCGGACATATGAAGGAAGTTTGCAATGTCAATAACCAGAACCAAGATCCTATCTCGCCCGATCAGATCAACTACATACACTCCCATTCGAATGCAACCACTAACTAAACGGCCAGACCGACTACAACCTTTGAAAGAACGGTTAGTGATAGATAGAAAAAGTCGATTCCTCGATGTATAATCCGTGGATGATTGTTGAGCGAAGACGGTGAAAACAATCCACCGGAACGGTGAAGAAACCAGAACAAATCAAAACATGCAAGGGATTCGGATCTCCATTTGTTGCCTTATCTGAGGACGCTCATACTCATGGAAAGTCTCAAAATCAAATCGGGGAGAAGAAAGAACAAATTATGTTATTGCGGTTACTGCGCCTTAATCCAATCTGGTTAATGGGAATTGTTTGGCTACTGAGTCTTGTCAGACCCACTCAACAATCAGCATGGAGCTGATCAGTCGTGAAATTCAAATAGTTGGCACCCAAGGCCAAGGAGCCAAAATCAAAGGAAAAGTAGTAGTTGAAACCCGGAAAAAGGAGACTCAATCCAAAGTTTAGGGTCCCATGGTTCATTAAAGTGCTTCTGAGATAAGTGTGAATTCCATGACCACTATCAAGATCCTTTGACCAAGAAGGAAATTCACGTGGACACAATCAAATAAGTTTGCTCTGTCATGCAAAACAATAATTCTCAAGAAGCTGAGGTGGTCAAGCTTAATGGAGCCAAATTCACATCGAACACTAATCCTATATTCGACAACTACGTCGGTCTAGAGGGACAACCGACGATGACCTCCTTATATCTCATGAAGTATGCAGCCATCACATTCAAAGAAAGACTAAGCTTACCTGCCCCTAAAATTCAGACAAACCTTAGCAGTAAATGCTTGACGGCCACCAAAGAGAAGTGTGTGGCCTATGCTATTAGAAGTAAAAGGGTTAAATTCAAGAATAACTCCCCAGCTCGCCCTTTCATTCGAAAGACGATAAATAATGTAGTGAAAAATCTTCAAGGTCATATCCAAGCTTTTAGTGGCGAAGTGGAACAATCAGGCGTTGCAAATGGCAACGATCAATAAAGGTACTCTTTTCCCTTATCCATGGACTTTAAACTAATATCTTGGAACTGTCAAGGATGCGATGGACCTCGTTTTCCCAGAATCCTTAACGAGTATACTCAAGAGCACAATCCACACATTGTGGCGCTTGTGAAGACTTGTATTAGCGGAACTAAAACTGATCGAGTGATTACTCTTACGGGTTTTGTTAACTCATTCAGAGTGGAGACTATTGGATTCTCCGGAGGTATTTGGTTACATTGGAATGATCTTATTTTGATGAATATCGAGGCAGTCCATCCCTAATATATCCTCAGCAAAGTCATCTATAGAACGCCTCTAAAACCATTTTATGTTACGATTGTATACGGCAGCCCGAACAAGAAGAAATGCAAAGCTCTTTGAAAGGATCTTTATGGCATTCAAGCAACAAAGGAAGCTCCTTGGATCCTTGCCTGAGACTTTAACGTAATTTTATCCGATATAGAGAAGGAAGATTGCTCAACAAGAGGTCGGAAGTGCAAACTCTTTCAAGGGTTTATGGATGAGCAAACCTCTCTGATTTAAGTTCACGTGGTCACGAGGGAGAATATCTGAGCGCCTCGATCGTATGGTAGCTAATGTGGGATGGTACGATCTTGCGCCGAAATCCACTATAATACATCTTACTCGGCTTAAGTCAGACCACCGACTATTTCTCCTCATTTCTTCAAGCCGTGATTCTTCGAAGCATGTTCATCCTTTCCGTTTCCTAGCCGGATGGATTAAACATCCTGATATCAATAATTTTATCCGTGAAAGCTGGTGCACCGAAGGTAATCTTATTAGCTTTGTGCATAACATAACCATTTCTCGTAACAATTGGAACATGGAGGTTTATGGGCACATCCTTCAAGAGAAGCGTAAACTCAAAAAGCAATTTTCCATAATCTAAGGCGAGCTTGACAGGAATCATAACATTCAGCTGATCGAAAAAGAGTTGGAAGTTAGAACTAAACTGGAAGAGGTCCTTGATCACGAAGAGTTACTCTGGCAACAAAAATCTAGAAGCAATTGGGTGTTCTAAGGTGACCGGAACACCAAAATTTTCCACAATCAGGCTATGAACAGGAGGAGGGCGAGCCATATCCAAGCCTTGAAAATTAACAATGATGAATGATTCTACGATGATGATCAACTTCGAAAGGAAGCTTCCATATTTTTTGCCAACCTTTACAAAGATAATGGGCAGCGAGCTAGAAGATATCCGACCAGAGGTATGCTTCCCAAACTTGAGAGAGCAGATATTCAAAGCCTTGAAGTTGATGTCACCGATGATGAGATAAAACGTGCTCTCTTCAATATGAATCCTTTCAGAGCTCCAGGTTGTTTGTTTCCAAAATCAATGAGAAACGGTAAGGCACTCGGTGTGTTATTGAGTCAAAGGTATCTTTGACGGTAATAATATCGAATACGATCTTAACAAAACGCTTCTTGTGCTAATACCTAAAATTTATTACCCAGAGTCGACTGATCAACTTTTGTTCAGTTTTGTATAAACTTATTGTGAAAATTATTGCTAACCAATTCAAAGCAAATTTTCAAAAAAATTATTGTCGTGATTTAGACAAGCTTTATTGCAAGACGATGCATCACCGACAATATTATCGTGGCTCAAGAAGCTATATATCCACTCAATGAAAAAGAAAAAGGGCAAAACTAAATGGATGGTTGTTAAGGTTGACTTCGAGAAGGCTTACCATCGGGTTGGCTGGGATTTGCTCTCAGACTCCCTAGTAAGGGTTAGTAATCAAGTTTTTATTTCACTCAAGTCCTCTTGTATTTTCTTCTTCATAATTGTGAATTCTTCTCATATGCCTATAATTTTTTCTATTTAGATTTTCCACGTAAATCTTGGTGTTCTTTATTTTTCTTTTTTGATCATATTTATTTGTTTGCTGATAATCGTTTCGATATTATAACATATTGATATTAGAGTATCGGGTTCAATATTATGACAACAATAAAGTATGATATTCAGGATATGTTGAAGGAAAAAACGAGTGTTTCTTTGTGGGTGAAATTGAAGCAACTATGCATGTAGAAATCGTTGACCAACATGTTGCACTTAAAGCAACGTCTTTATTCGCTTCAGTTGGTGGAAGGTTCGTCTCTTGAAGAGCACCTAAATACATTCAAAGAAATTGTCTCTGATCTAGATACTTTAGAAGCGAAGTATGATCAAGAAGATTTAGTATTGATTCTCTTGTGCTCACTGCCTCCTTCCTACTCATCTTTCAGAGACATAATTATGTACAGTTGTGAAACACTCACTCTTGATGATGTGTATAATGGCATGCACTCGTTTGACAAGATGAAGCATCTTATATCTGGTTCCGAGCCCCAGATAGAAGGTCTCGTGGTACATGGATCAACTAGCTTAGATAATGAAAGAAAAGACGAACGTTCTTCTAGTAATGAAGGAGGGGGCATATCAAAATCTTCCAACTGAGGTAAAACTTGTCACTTTTGCAAAAAAAAAATGTCATGTTAAATCGAAGTGTTACAAGTTACAGAATAAAATTAAGAGAGAAGCTGAAAAGAAAAACTCAAGAAAATCTGGTGAGGCTGGTGTAGCAGAGGATTGCGATGGCAGAGAACTCCTAGTTGTGGCTGACGACACCTCTATAACAAGTGATGAGTGGATACGTGACTCTGATAGTTTTCATATGAGTCCTAATTGTGACTGGTTTGCGACCTATAAAGTTGTATCTACAGGTGATGTATTTTTGGGAAATAATGTCTCTTGTAAAGTTGCAAGTATTGACACAATCAAGATTAAGATGTTTGATGTAATTGTTCGAACACTTGGTAATGTGAGACATGTTCAAGATTTGAGTAGAAATCTAATTTCGCTAAGTACCCTAAATTTAAAAGGGTACAAATTCTCCAGTGAAGGTGGAGTTATGAAGATTTTTAATGATTCTCTTGTTGTGATGAAAGGACAGAGAAATATTATCAAGTTTTATGTTCTACAAGGTTCAATAGTTTTAGACAATGCAGTTGATATTTCATCCCCGTGATAGAATTATTATTGATGATCGAGATTGTGTTGTGCATGATATTACTCGTGATGATATATTTGTGAGCAAAGTTGACACTTTTGATAACCATGTCGATGTGAAGGCTAAATCCAAGCTTAGAGAAAAAACTTGGATTCAGTTGTATCAATTACTGAAGATTACCCCTTTGAGGGGTGTTGTGGAAGAGATGGAAAACTTGTTTGTTTAAGTGAAGAATTGTTTTTTGTTGAGTTTGGGTGTCTCATTGAATTTGTGTGTTTTATCTCGAAACCTTCGCATAGAATTCGTGTTAAGGTGGATATTTGTTAGAGTTTGACTCGAATTCAAAGTGGCACAGATTAGTATTTAAATTTGAGAAAGTAAGAATCCTAGTTTGATTAAAAGTAGATAACTTTATTAAAGTAGATTTTTACTCTATTTAGTTTTCATTTGTAATCAAATATTTGTCGTTATAAATAAATACTAAGAGTAAGGGTTAGAAATCAAGTTTTTCTTTCACCAAAATCTTATTGTATTTTATTCCTTTATAATTATGAAATTATTCTCATCTGCCGTGGTTTTTTCATTTTGAAGTTTCCACGTAAATCTTATTGTTTTTTATTTTTTTCGATCATGTTTATTTATTTACATATAATCTTATCCATTCTTTTTCCTATCAAAAGAGTAACAATAATTAAATATGAATTTAAGAATATTATATTAATTTTGGAGACGATGCCCATCTTCATATCATATCAAGTAGAATAAAATCACTTCTAATATAATGATTTCTCTACAATACAATAACTTATTACTAACATTTTTCTATAAATTCTTTTTTTGTCGTTGCTAACTATTCATTTTGCGACAAATTTATTTTTTAAAATTTAGAAGTGATTTAATACTACTGTTGATG